TTTCGCCGGCATCGTAGTCGGCATCATCAGTGAGTTTTGCCATTCTCCGCACCAAGCTATGAACTCGTCAGAGGCAAGTAAAGTTAATCCCTCGACAAACGTTCTGCCGAAAACGGTTACACTATCACTCCTCTTTCTCTAATGGCCTATCTATATACTCTTTACTCTCTTAACCCACTGCCGCCCTACCACAAGGAGTAGGAAGGTTTTTTATCACCATATATATCGAATGATTGAGACTATATTTGTATAAATGGTGATTAAATATTCAAAGGTAGGCAAGCATTCATCGGAGTCGCAGAGTGGTGCACCAAAAACTTATTTGCACAAATGAAATAGCTTACCTTTATAAGGACAACTAAAATATATTAGAACAATTTATAAACATTTAATAGTGTGGAAGAACCTCAGAACAGATAACGAATCAAGATCACAAAGCACCCAGAAGCTAAAAGAGATCAATAAACATAAAATACAATGGTATGTAGAAAAAGTGGGATTGATATTGGAGTACGTTCCATTTCATTAGAAGAGGCGAGTGGAAGGGATTTGTAACTTGGTCTCACCAGAAGCTGTAGGGGGATTGCCTTGGAGTTGTGATTGTAGATTTATGCGAATAAGTCGTTAGCGCACCGTCCTGCGACGTCGATGAGTCCTTTTACTCATGTGACGGACATCAACAGAAAAGGACACAATGTTTAACGATAATTCACCAAAACACGAAGACAAGAAAGGTGGCAGATTTAAAACTTATATTCTTCTTGTAGTTAATTTTGATCTACTTACGCATCTCATGTTTTGGTTGTATATCCTATGCTTCGCCTAAATGTTAAGTTAAATGGTGACATACCAGATGGCTGCAGATGAAATGTGAAAAGGACGTAATTGTGACCGAACAGCTACATCCTCCCCTAAAACACGTAAATCTTTGATCCTGCAATGTTACCGCATGCGATTGCATTCCATTGCACTAGTGCTGTGTGAATGCATGGCTTTGAAAGGGGGGTGATAAGAGAGTGAATACCAGATCAGAGCCTGATCAAGCCTGCTCCCCTTGCTCAGTGGTACTTCTCTCTCTCTCTTTCTCTAATCCTATTCAGCAGCCACAAGTAGCTTCCCCTTAACTTCCCACTCATTCCTTCTATTCAAAGTGCTGGCTTTGTTGACTGAATTGTTAAACCGTAATCACTCTAGAGTGAGGTTAGGACGAGTGGTTTCGTAACCTGACTTACACAATTACAAGCTTACAACTCATCCCAACCATACTTGCTACGGACTTACGCAGTTTCGGTCAGGGATTTTTCTTGGGTCAGTGAGCCTTGATGACTAGAGACTGACATTAGCCTTTTTTGGTCACTCTGATTTATGGCCGGTATTGCATAGACGTTAACACACACACTTGAGCAAAAGTAGCAGGACCAATACGAAAGACAATTAGCTATAACATTATATATCTATACCTTTTAATTATATTTTGTTTAATTGAGTCTATATAAGAGGTAAGATAGAACCGAATAGTCATCTTAGCCTACTATTAACCTAAGACTTTTACAAGAATATTACAGCTCTGATGATGCCCATCATATGACGGACAAAAGCTCAATTCGTTTTCACTCGCAACGAGGAAGAAGATATCGTGGACTGCGTCAACCTGAACGTCGTATTAAGGTCAAACGGCTGTAGTACAACAGGAATCGGCCGTCCTCTTATGGTAAGATCTCGTCTCATACGAAATGAAATCTCCCCAACAATATGGATATGAAGGCGGTCTCATTAAGTAACCAATAAAATGCAATCGCAGCTCTACAGCAGCCTACACCTGTATATCGTTGGAGCAGCATAAAGACCTAAAATAAAACTAGTGGGTTTCAGTCTCAATTTCAACACCTATTAGGTCTCATCTCATGGGTGAGGATAATTAATCGGCTAGGACCCAAGAGCTTGAGACGGTAATAGGGATAAAAGCGACGGAGAAACTAGTTAATTTCAGGGCTAGACTTGCTGAGGAAAACAGGAAAGTAAAAAAGGACGTACAAATTCGAAATCTAATTCAGGCTTTTACAGTAAAAATTAGAAAATGAAAATTTTTGTGCGACAAAACTTTCTGCATGACTTATGTAACCTCGCAGTAAGTAAGAAAACAGTTTAATCATATAAAGGATGGATAAAAACGCTTGAGTATTCACTTAAGCCAGGCATATACCTGAGTATATTCATGACGTTTAGGCTCTTGCAAGAGAGCAGATAGTATCACTCTTTTCAACCTTAATTGACCCAAATCAGATGCTAAAAGGGGATCGTAGGCATGGCATCTTGGCAGGTCGACGGCAATTTGATCAAGAGACTTTTCATCTAATCCAAAGGGAATCGGCTGTGACGGAAAATGAGTAGCTGGTGATGAAGAAGAAAGAGAAGAAGAGGAGGAGGAGATGAAGAGAGAAGAGGAGTCTGTAGTCAAATCAGAACCAGTTGCCTTTTCTTTCTCAGAAGACCCCGCGTCTAGTAGTTGAGAGTTGGTAGCACTTTAATGAAAAGGGTATTTGCAACGGAAATATAACAAAAAATACGAGAACAGTCTCATAATTGACTAAAAAATAGGATAAATTCACACTAAATGCAATATTAAAAAAAACAGAGGAAAAATTAACATAAATTTAACCTCCACTAAGTAATAGCCAAGAAGGCCTTTAATCACGACATAAACTTTAAATAATTGAGAATATATTCGTATAAATGGTGATTTGATTTTAAATTATTCTGAAAATGATTAAGAAATTCGTAAATTGATCTCACCAGAAGACGACAAAGGGTTCCTCCTAGCCACGACAGACGAAAGATCAGCAAATATTCATCAGGGTTGCAGAGTGGTGTCTTGAGGACATATTTGCACAAATCTTTAAATACAACTACGAGGTAATCTCCCTTCAACTTCCGGTGAGACTAACTTAAGAATCCCTTCCACTCGCCCCTTCAAACGAGGTGAAAGGCCCCTTTTGGGAAAGCAAGGCTGTGCAATTCAATGGAAAACGTCAGCTCAACTCATATAATTGTGGGAAAATTCTACTACCAGTCCTTCATCACCT